ATTCTTCTCAGCACGTTATAGTTGCACCCTTTTTTATCCTTTCTTTTCAGTTCACCTCCATCAACCATGTGTTTCCATGCTGAATTCCAGGTACCTTTAGTGAGTATCAAGCCTAATGATATGGAATGTCTATCAATTCTTGGCAGAAGAAATCCTCAGTTAATGGCCTGTTGGATGTCTAAGAGCTCAAGTTGACAGATTTGATTTTGTCACAATTTTACCTTTAACTATCAAAGTCCTAATGCAAAACTATTTGCCCAACAAACCCTCAGTCTCTAAGTTTGCAAAGGCAATTTTCTCATCAGGGGAATACAAACAAACTATGGAACATTGCATCATTAGGCCTTCCGTGTTCTCTCACTGAAATTAAACCTTTGGGAACAATGAGAATGATGCAAAGATCTTTTGAAATATATTTCTGCTTCTGTGATATCCCTTGGTCCTTCAGGCCTCGGTTAACACTGGAGCATCAGTGTATAACTATCTTCCATACCTGCGCATCTTCTTTTTTGAACAGGATATTATCTGAAGAAAGGAATAGGGGTGAGTAACAAGTGCATACACATGACTTTGAACTGTTTGTCTTCATTAATACAGCAGTTTGGAGCTCCTTGAAAGAAAGGGTAAATGTAAATAACTGCATAAGATGGCTCTTTGAGTGTGGTATGTCTGATATTTCAGTACTGAGGAGAGGTGTAAAAAGATTATGAGACAGAATGCAACATAACAACATTTGGTTTGAAGCTATTTATTTTAAATTCTTACTACTGACAATTGAATATGTTAGGGGGGTTTCTCAGATTTAAGCTAGAAGGACATCATTAGTAACAAAAAATTGTCATTCACTTTACATTAAAATGCAGAAATACTTCCTAACCCTTGACATTAGAGAACAAACAGAATAAAAAATAAGTGTCTATTTTACTAGAAAAGCTTTAAACTTTATCATTTTCATGAAATTATTGTTTTCAGATAGTTTCTAGTGTACAGATATAGAAATTGATCATAGAATGGCAAATGATACCATTCTGTTATCATTCATAGAGATACGCTTAGTGTGATGTCCATGTAAACAAAGGATCCTCAAACTTTTTAAGCAGAGGTCTGGTTTATGGTCCATCAGACTGTGAACACTCCTTTCAGTGTTCAAAAGCACAGGGAAAGCACACTGATGACAGAGAATTGGGCTGAAATAGTCCTAAGCAAATCCAAAGTCATGAGATTCTCTCGAGATCCAAGCAAATTCCAAGCAATTTTTTTCAGCTTTCCTAGGGAAGGTCAAGCCAGTTTAAAGCAGAAAACCCTGCAACACTCATTTAAAATAAACAAGCTGAAATAGGTCTGTGAAGATACAAGAAAGAAATGTTTGAAACAGAGTTCAGATTTTAGACTCACTATGCTTCTACTCAAGTAAGGTTCCATTGTTTCCATTTTGAAATAAATATTGAGTTGCATTGCTATTTCATAGAACCTGTTTGAAATATTACATATTCCAAACTTATTTTTAAAATCCCACCTATATTTATTCCTCCCAGACCAATTAATCTGATCATATATGAAGAATCCTGTTTCACCCTAATATATACTGCAATTTGTATAGATGATATTTAATAGCCCATAAAGCATGCCACATAAATACTACCCTGCTGACTTTTAAAATTTGTAATGAGATTCTTTCTCTCCTTTAAATCAGATTCTTTAGGTTTTTTCCTGATTTTGTTTTTTTTTTTACTTTAAGACCTACAGTGGCATGGAAATGAAATCTAAATCTAAAACCCCAAGAGCTATCTCTAACTTTGCTCTGATGGCCAAGGATGGACTTCCTATTTTACTGACAGAGGGGATAAAATTCTACTTGGTCTTGGCAGGTACTGGAATAGCCCTATACTGTTTTACCTGGGAAGGGTGATGAGTAACAAGATAAGCACCTGTTGCCCAAAGATGTGGCCTTCAGTGGTTGAGAAATGTCATTCTTCCATGAGCGATCTAAGGACACCCATCAAAGTAATGTCCTCATGGCTCTCATTCTGAACATTGTAGCAAATGCATCAAATGTTGTTTTTCCCATCCACCCATATAGTTGGATAAAGGGTAAAATATTTTGCGATAGCTTTTTTTATAATATGCTAAAAGACAGCCATCTTTTTCTAGGGCATGGGGAATTTCAATTTCTTCACATACAAAAAAAAAACACAGTATTTCCTGATTCATCTTAACACACTTTACTTGATCACATCTTTCAATCTTTTCTTTCCTACAAGATATGTTACATGTGCATGGGTGATACACCTGCCTCCAATTAACCAAGAATACACACATACACAAATAGATTGGAGTAGAAAATGGCCACAACTTGTTTAGTGATTACAGGAAGAACGGTTGGCAGCTATGCATGGGTACTGGATCAGGAGTCGGGCAGCCCGCTGCTGTCCGATGTTTCTTACACACCTGGGTGCTGCCGGCCCAATACCGGTCAAAGGAAACTCAGCACCCCAGGGACCACAGGTGTTATCCCCCCTTCCACCAATACGTGATAAACCAGCCAGACCCAGGGCCCATGCCATATGCCAAACATGGAGTTGTGACAAGAGACAACAAGCTAACAACAAAATAGGCTAACAAAACACCTTAAGACAATCAGCATGCAGGGTAGGAGGGATGGAAAAGCTGAAGCAGGTCCGGTGCTTGTTGGAAGGACTCGGGCAGCCTTAAGTAGGCTGCCTGGGACAAAGGAAGGGCTGGCCGCAGCCAGGCCCAAACGGGGTGGGGTCAGCCCAGCCATTGGTCAGCTGGCCCTGCCGGTAGGAAACTTTCCCACCACCCAGGCCACGCAAGAGGCTTCTGGGAAGAAGACGCCCCCTGGCCCCATGATGGCAGCGAGGACACCCTGCGCTGCAACATGCTTGGCCCAGTAAGTCGGGCCAAGCCATTTTTAATGAAAGGATATTGCAATTAGATTTGCATGTAATCAAGCTGCTTTATGAATTTCTCCCCTTCTATATAAATAAAAATGTAATGTTCGTTTGTGCTACCATCAGAACTCAAAAACCACTGGGGGAATTGACACCAAATTTGGACACAAGACACCTAACAGTCCAATTTATGTCCTCCACTCAAAAAAAACCCCAAAAAAACTCTTCCCCTCTCTCCCCCCTCAGAAAGTAAGCCTCAGGGAGGGAGGGGAAAGGGAAGGAGTGCATGTGCACAGCAGGCTCCCACGGGGGGAGGAGGCTCTCCGTTCACTGCCTCTCTGCCGCTACCCTTTCCATGCTGCCTAGGCTGCTCTGTCTCTCCAAAATTCATCTATCCAGGCCCGACTAATCTATTGCCGATGGGATGGATTCAGGAGAAAGGAAACTGCAGAAGCAAAAGCAATCAAGCTCAGAGCAGATCCATTGATAACCCAGGTTCAGAATACAGAAACCCCAATCCTATTCATGTCAGGCAGGAGTGACCCCATTCAAACCCTCCCAACAGATGGCCATCCAATTCCAACCCCATTCTGCCAGGCAGGAAGAAACGATTCATTCTACAAATATAGCATCCCAAGCATACAGGATCAAATAGCATAATAATAATAATAATAATAATAATAATAATAATAATAATAATCCAAAATAATAAATATATCAGCTATAATAGGCTTTAAGTCAATGATATGACACATAAAAACCTATCCCAAAGAACTACAAAAAACTGAACTGGCCCAACGAATCCATACAGCTATGTAATAATTGGCAATATATATCTATAAATGTATATAACCCTTTCAAAATATTTTTGATAACATGTTAATTATAAAATACTTATTTAATTTTAAAATATTTAATTCTTTTAAAAATATTTAACTTTTGAATACTTCATGTACATATTTTAAGTTTTAAATATTTGTTTAATTTAAACATTTTAATATTTTCATTATAAAATATTTAATTCTTTAGTTCTAAAATATTTCATTTACATATTTTGATTTTAAAAATTATTATTTACATTACATTATTTTATTTTAATATTTCAAATTTAAAATATAAAATTGTTTAATTTTAATATTATTCCTTTAATTTTAATATTAAAATTTATACATATTTAATATTTACATTTCATAATACTTGATTTTAATGTATTTTATTTGGTTTGATTATGAAATATTTGATTACTTAATATTTTGTTTTTAAAATAATTATTTAAGTTTAAATTATTTAATTTTAATGTTTTAATTTTAAAATATTTAATTGTTTACCTTTACAAAATTTAAATCTAAAAAAACATAATTAACTTTAAAATATTTTACTGTTAGTATTTTAATTTAAAAAGTATTTAGTTGGTTACTTTTCAAATATTTTCCATATCACCAAGCTAGGCCACACCAACGAGTGGCTAGGAGGGAGGCCGGGGAGGGAGGGGGATCGCCACGGGGAAGGAAGGGGCCCTTGGATGCCACTCACAGAAGGATGGGCGCGGGAAATCCTTTGAGGAATACGAAGGGGCCCCAAAGGCCATCCAGTCCCACCTCATTTTACAGTAAAGGAAAACACCATCAAAGCCCTCCCAACAGATGGTCAACCAGTTGGAAGGGAGTCCCAGAGGCCATCCAGTCCAACCCCCTTTGTCTGTCTGTATGTCCATCCATCCTTCAATCCATCAATCACTCCATCTACATATTTATCTACCTACTACCTACCAACCTATGTTCTCTCCATCTACCTTCTGTTCCATCTATCAATGTCAATTCCATCTGTCCTTTCTGTCTATTGCTTCAACTGGAATTCCTCTCTTATCTGAGGGCCACAGCAACACGTGGCAGGGTACAGCTAGTAGTTAATAAAATCTGTTTAGTAAACTCTTACATAGTCTGTCATTCAGAAGGCAAACAACCACAAAAAGAATTCTGTTTTTTCTTAATGATCTGTGTAAAAAATGGGAATTATTTTGTTATTCTTGGTATCTTTTTATATATTTCTTTTTTTATCTTTACAGATAACATTTCCACTAAGGAAAAAATGGAAAACCAATCTACAGTGAATGAATTCATTCTGTTGGCATTTTCTGAAATCAGAGAGCAACAGATTTTACATTTTTTGGTGTTTCTGACCATTTATTTGGTAGCATTGATGGGAAACATTCTCGTTATACTAGCTATAGTCTATGACCATAATTTGCATAGTCCTATGTATTTCTTTCTAGCCAATTTATCATTGATAGATGCTTGCTATATCTCTGTAACTGTTCCTAAATCTATGGCTATTTCATTGACAAATGACAGAAGAATTTCCGTATCTGGATGTGTTTCTCAAGTTTTTCTAATTATGATATTTGCAGGGGCTGAGCTGTCCTTTCTTACTGTTATGGCATATGACCGCTATGTGGCAATCTGCCTCCCATTACAATATATGAAGATCATGAATTGGAATGCCTGTCTCCAAATGGCAGCTGCCTCTTGGATCACTACTATAGTCCATGCAATAGTGCAAACTATATCAACATTCAGGTTACAGTTTTGCACTTCTCATATTCAACAATTTTTCTGTGATATTCCAAAATTATGGAGGATTTCATGCACAGATACAATGTTCAATGAGTGGCTTGTTGTTGCTGTTGTATTAATGGCTGGTGTTTTTTGTTTTTCTTTAATATTCATATCTTATGGGTTCATTTTCTTGACAGTATACAAGATTCAATCATCCCAGAGCCAACACAAAGTCTTCTCCACCTGCACTCCACACTTGACTGTCTTCTCTTTATTTTTTTCAACTGCTATCTTCTCATACACTAGACCACGGGCCTTGTCCTCAATTTCTTTAGATTTGCTGTCTGCAGTCTTGTACACTGTTCTGCCACCAGTAATGAATCCCATTATTTATAGCCTAAGAAACAAAGATATCCATCAGGCTGCATGGAAGATGTCAAATAAGTGGTTTCAATTTCACAGGGTCATCTCAAATACCTTTCCCCCAAAGTCTCAAATTTTCATAATAGAAAAAGCAATGGCATGACTGACAAGATATGGAATAATAATATTGAATGATGGAGGATGCCCGGGGGGGGGGGGGGCATTGGGGCCCTAACATGTTGCATAGAGTCTATAACCTCCATTTTGTCAACCTAGTGAGTAATGTATCAAAACTTGTAGTTTTCCCAGTGGTTGCAGGTTGTTACATGTTTTCAAGGGCCCATCCAGACAGGTCTAAAATGTGGGACCTGTCTGGGTTTTTACCAGGAAAGTCCAAATGATGCCCATCATAAAAATGTAATAACTTCCTTTATTCTAAATTAATTAAATGCCCCATTAGATCTGGGCCTTCCTGAAAGGAGTATTGGGCCTGTGGGGACTCGCCTCCAGATAGTCTTGAGACTACCCAGGGGTGTGTCCCCATTTGCCATCCTGAACCTTTTGGGGTTCTGGAGCCCAAAGGTCGGAATGGTACCCAGTCCCTCCCACCAGCTCCCATTTCCCCTTAAAAAGTAATCAAAAACTTACCTGGCCACCATTACAGTCCTCCTCGCACCCTCCTGGCATGAGGAAATGATGCACTAGAGGATTGGGGGGGGGGGAGGGGTGAAGACTGTAATGACAGGCAGGTAACTTTTCTTTACTTTTTAGAGGTTATTATGGGGAAGTTTCCTTAGATGCATAATCAGGATGGCATGTAGCCACACACATACACCCATTCCCGAGAAAGCCCGGAATTTTTGAGGGCAGGGGATTTAAACCCAAGACAGAGCGGGTTTTTAAACCCACTTCAGAGGGGGGTTAAATTTTGTCTGGATGTACTGTATGAAACAAAGTAGAATTATTCCCACTGGGCAAAAATTGAATTTTAGTGCCTTGCACAATATTAAAAATCCTGGCCTGCCATGTCATCTATCCTGAGAGCCACACCTATAGAAGAGTCATTGAGAATGACAAGTTCTAGCCCAGCCCCAAACATTGTTGAATATGGCCTTATACTTCCAGCCTATTACACCGGTCATCCCTTTAATAGGCCCTGGAAATGAGCAGGCACATACCTGTACCTGCTATAACAGGTCTGTGGCTGTGAATATAACAAGGAGCCTGTTATAGCACTGTACTTAATTCCCGGTCCCCTCATATTTTGAGTTTGCACTAGCCTTGGCCCAGCCTTTTAATTGCTCTGAACAGGCAGGATTATATATATATGTGTGTGTGTGTGTGTGTGTGTGTAATTGTGATAATTTTATGCGTATGTTGTTTCGTTAATTTTGTTATGCTGTTTTCTCTGTATGTTTTGGTGATGTTGCTTGGAACCTGCCCTGAGTCCCCCTCGGTGAGATAGAGCAGTATATAAATACAGTTTTATTATTATTGTATTGTATTGTATTGTATTGTATTGTATTGTATTGTATTGTATTGTATTGTATTGTATTGTATTGTATTGTATTGTATTGTATGACAAGAAGGAATGCAGGCTTCGGGCACATTTTGTATTCTCCATGTGTGATGCATATATGCTCCTCTAGTTAGGATCTGAATTTCAATATAATTTGATTACCCAGGCTTTAACCGTTGTAATCTTTTCTTCCCAATTTGTTTTGTGATCACCTGCTGATTAGAGTCATATTATATTTGTATGTGTTTCTTGTGTGTGTTGTCCATGGAAGGCCTAAATAAATATATACTTCTCTGTGCAGTTTTTTCCTTATATTTAATTGCAGGAACTCTTGTATTAAGGGAGCTGTCTCGATGCACCCTGAAATGGCAGGAAAGGAAATAGACAAATGTAGGGGGATTTTAGTACCCCTCTGAGAAGTATATATTTAGGGCTTCGCTTTCCAGATACTTTTTCAGAGATGTTATGAATTTGAAGCAATTACACCTCTGGCAAATATATAGGGCAAAACATGGTGACATTGTATGGGATGAGGAGGAAAGAGGAATGTCATTTGAATAAATGCACAACAGAATATAACAAGGAGCCTGTTGTTTTGGATATAGATGTAATAGCTCCAAAAGGGAAAATACAGTATTTGTTCTAATCTAATGCTTGCCTATTCTTACTAAATTACCTCCCCAAAATTAGGGTACACATTAGATTCACATAATATGGTAATCTTAGTACTGAGCCAAAGTAAAAAGGAAAGCTAATTCAGGAGCACCTGGACCTCCTTCAACAATATAAATGCACCCCAAGGTTTTCATTTTCTTTGCTGAAAGCTTTGGCATTCAAACATTTTTGTTTTTAAAGAAAGAAAGGAAATATAAATATGAAGCTACTGTGATTCGTAACTTTTTTGTCCAAATTACAGGGAGTGCACTTTTTGTTCCCGTGCATAACATTCGAAAGCAAATACTTTTTGGGGGTTTTGGGATTTTGAAAATTGAGGGGTGCATTAGACACGAGTAAATATGGGTATATGTGATAACGCAGCAGGCAAGTTAAGTCATATCAGCAAATTTCTTGTCATCTCTTTCTTTGACCTTGCCTTCAATTTCTGGTCGAGTATCTTCTCCTCATCCTTTCTTTTCCTTTTTCTTATCTCTTCTTCTGGCAACTCCACTGCTGACACCTTCTGGCCAAATGACTCCTTACTTCTCTTTCTCTTCTTACTCCCTTCAGCATGTCTTAGCTGCACCCATCTTTAGCCTTTCTTTCCAATTCACCTCCATCTACCCTGTGTTTCCATGGTAAATTCCAGGTACCTTTAGTATCTATCAAACCTAATGTAATGATATGGAACTTCTACCAAAATGATTCTTCTTGGAAGAAGAAATCTTCAATGCATGGCCTGTTGGATGTCATACGGTTAGGTTGACAGATTTGAGTTTTGTCACTAATTTACCTTTGACTATCAAAGTCTTAATGTAAACTTATCTACCCAACAAACTTTAGCCTCCATCTGGAATTTTGCACATGCAGTTTTGTCATAGAGGGAATACAAGCTAACTATGGAACCATTAGGTCTTCCATTTTTTCACACTTAAATTAAACCTTTGGGGACAGTGAGAATGATGCAAATGCCTTTTGAAATGTTTTTAGCTTTTATGATGCCCCCTTGGTTTTTCAAACCTCCAGTAACCTTGGAGCATAAATATATAGCAATTTTCTCTGCCTGTTCATCTTCTTTTTTGAATAGGATATTATCTGAAGAAAGGAGCAGGGGTGAGTAACTAGATATGCATGATTTTTTGGACTGTATGGTCTTCATTAGTACAGAAGTTTGGAGCTCCTTCAAAGAAAGTGTAAATGTTAATAGCTGCCCAAAATGGCTCTTTCAGTGTTGTATGTTTCATATTTCAGTACTGAGAGGGGGTTTAAAATTAGATAGCAGGTCAGTTATCCATCTACAGTTAAATTAAAATGCAATGTAATAACATTTGGTTTGAAGTTATTTATTTCAAATACTTTCTAGTGACTATTGAAAATGTTAGGGTTTTTTCTCAGATTTGGGCTGTGGAGACATTATTCATTTAACAAAGAATTGTAATTCACTTTACATTAAGATGCAGAAATACTTTGTAATCCTCAACATTAGAGAACAATCAATATTTTAAAAAAGCATCTATGAAGCCATATCATCAGAAACCTGTAGTACTAGAAAAGCTTTAAACGTTAACATTTTCACCAAATTATTAAATTTTTATTATCTTTGAAATTGAAATTGGTCATAGACTTGTAATTGATACTATTATCAGAGATATTCAATTAGTATGATGTCCATATAAACCAGAGGTCCTCAAACTTTTTAATCAGATGACCTGTTCACGGTCCATCAGACTGTTTTGCGGCCAGATTAAACTGAAATAAAACACAAACATTCCTTTTTTGAAATATTTTTTTATTGTCAAATATACAGTTAACTATTTTTCAAAAAATACAACAATAAAGAACCAATATCTCTGACGGGAAAGTACATGGTATTTTGAAAAAGGCATATATATATATATATTTAACATCTTAATACAACAATAACCTGTTTCTCATCTAGTTTTCCACTCTTTAAAAATATTATGCTTTTAATTCTATTACAATTTTGAATCAATTTATGTATAGGCTGTTTTATTATTGCCATACCCCCCTCCCCCCCCCCTTTTTTTGGTGCCACCTTCATCTGGGCCAGGTTCAGATGAACACATTCCTATGCACACTGCACATATATTCTTTGTAGTCCAAAAAAAATATGAAAAAACAATACAATGTTTAAAATGGAAACAATTGTAACAAATGAAAACTCACCAGTATTTCAATGAGAAATGTAGCCCTGTTTTTGGCTGATGAGATAATCAAGTCAATTAGGATTTTTTGTCGTGATATGCCTTCAAATCTGGGTTTTTGTAGGTTTTTTCGGGCTATATGGCCATGTTCTAGAGGCATTCTCTCCTGATGTTTCGCCTGCATCTATGGCAAGCATCCTCAGAGGTAGTGGAGGCTTGCCATAGATGCAGGTGAAACGTCGGAGAAAATGGCTCTAGAACATGGCTATATAGCCCAAAAAAACCTAAAACAACCCAGTTATTATGGCCATGAAAGCCTTCGACAATACATTGCCTTCAAATTGTTCAGACTTAGAGCAATAATAAGTTTAAAGTTTAGGGTGTGGGATTGATAAAAGACCTTGGAGAGCTGCATCCAGCCCACTGGCCTTAGTTTGGGGACCCTTATCTAAACATTCTTGACCACTTTATGTTTCACATTTGATAGTTAAAAATTCATTATTTTACCTCAATATGAACACACCATGAAACACCTACTGGAGAAATACCAATCTCTGTTCTACAAAATAAAATTAAGATCACTTAATTTGATATAAGGAGGAAAGGAAAGTTATGCTACTGTAGGATTGGAGATGGGGATGGGAGTGATGAATACATGGCTATTCTCCAAAATATTAAAACAGTGACATGTTTGTGATATAATCATTCTATAGGTTTTAAGCAACCACAAGAAACTGGTCAAGAAATTTTAGCAATGCAAGTCCAGTTGATTTTTACAAGTCACATAAATCATAAAATCTTTGTCTATCATGAGTTGGACAC